GTCATTGACACTGGGTCATTCGCTTCATTCACTCTGCCTTTGTTAGACTCTGGGGTCCCTATCCACAACGTTTTGTGGAATGTGCCCTGGGTCTCTAATACTGTGGTAACAATGACCAATTCCTGCATATGTACACTTTGTGTGACTGAAGTATCTCAAGTTTGGTAAGGGCGTTGGGGTAGCCTAGTGGTCAAAGTGTTCGCTCGTCACGCCGAAGACCCGGGTTCGATTCCCCACATGGGTACAATGTGTGAAGCCCATTTCTGGTGTCCCCCGCCGTGATATTGTTGGAATATTGCTAAAAGCGGCGTAAAACTAAACTCACTCTCACTCACTCACTCAAGTTTGGTAAGGAAGTGAGTTGTCACTATGGTATATTTAACAGAACAGACACCGGGCGCCATGTCCACAGTGCGCACAATTTTATAGAGGAAGTATGGTATGTTTACTGTTGCAATTCATGGTGCTTGTAAGAGGCGACTAAATTGAATGTACAGTTCAGTGAGTGAGTGAGTTGACTGTTTTGTGGACTGGTGTTCATAATGTCAACCACAGGATTATCAGGTTCAGACTTGATTATTTTCTTTCTGCCATCATATAGAAATAATCTTGAGTGCGACTTTAAACATCAAACAAAATAAACTTCCATATACAATCTTACACTGTCAAACGATGTGTAGAAATCTGATGCGAGTTATTTTCAATTTTGTTGAGCTAATGTCAGGCATATTCCAATAATTTTTATCGCTTACATGACTGATTTAAATACGAGAACAAAATTGCCCTAATAATAGGCAATGCACTTAATCTAAAGTGGGAATCTAAAGTGCACCGCCATTTATGTAAAAACACATAATCAATGTCGTTCTTTTAAAAACAAAACGTTTATGGGTTTTTGAACCAAACTTTGCATCTCTACTCTAGTTCACAGGTGATATCAGTATTTTGATGTTGTTAATAACTTTAGAAACATTTAATAGAACAGAGATGCCAACCTCTGTGATTTTATTGTAGTCTCTGCAAATTTTAGCCATATACTACGCCAATACGATTGACACTAGAAATTCTATGAAATTGGGAGAAAATTGAATAAAATTGTGATATAGAGGCAAAAACATATATTTTCGTCAATTAAATACATTTTCGGACTTCACTTACCATTTCCATTCATCAAATTTAATGACATGTTTGAACTGGAATCATCGCAAGTAACAATTTGGAAATCTGCTGTTGGAGGTATGTGAAATTAAAACTTCACTCTTGATTAGTGTCATATTATCTTTCTCATAATCCATCATGATTTGAAGTATTTAGTTGACAACTAATTTTCATCCTTGAAACTACTATTTGCAACACTTTGGGGTTGGGGTCTAACTTTTTGTCAGGTCCATTTGTGTTCAGTGCAAGCTATCAGCTGTTCAAGCGTAGTTACTCATGCATTATCAGTGGACATCCTACGAGACTTTCATCCTTGTATTAGTTGTAGGACTAATAAGTAAACAGCATCTCTGTCCTTGGGAAACAATACTTTGCTGATGGCTAATGATGCATGAAGATGTTCTTTGTAGGGAGCAGCCATCCTAATGGTTCTCTAAACCATTCTGGTTATAATACACTCGTATAATGTCGTTAGATACTGTTCAGCGATATCATGTCTAAATCATGTTTTAGTTTTAAGAAGAGTGTGTTCTTTTACGCCAACGTCAGCAATATCATGTCTTAATCATGTTTTAGTTTGACACTCACTCACTCACTCACACCCTCCCTCAAACCCCCTCACCCACAAACCTATCCACTCACTCACTCACTTACCTATCCGCCCACACAATACATGAGTAGATGTCCATGTGATAAGAGAATGAGGAAGTATGATGCTAAGTTTCAGTTGTTTACAACATGGATGATGTGATTATCATTGTGTCTCCTGGAATTCCTGTACCTCTCTCACAGTGGAAGGTAATGTAACATTGAGATGGGTGATTCAGCACTTGAAAAATCTAGATTGGTTCATTTAGGGCTTTAGCATTGCAGGGAGGGCTGGGAGGAAGGGTAAATAATGCGGTTCAGGGACTGAGAGACAGGCTATCACCCCAGCTGCTGTTGTCCTAAAGCATATTTATCGAATCATGGGACTTGTTCACAATTATCACTTGTGTATCACCTGTGTCATCACAGCCTGTGCAGTCATTTTCCGGTGTAGTTTTTATTGCAGATGTTTTGATAACGTGTGACATTTTGAGAGATTACGCTCTGTTGTGACATGTTATGTGGTGTCAATAATGTAGACACGATATATCATAAGAGCAAAAATGTTTCTAATCTTGGAGAGACTCATCAGAGTGTTGTATGCTACTCAAGCCTTCATAAAGATCGTAGGATATTCAATACTTGAAAACATCCAAACATTTCTGTGGACAAGTTATTTATTGTGTGTAGGATGTTTACCCAGATAGCCTTGAATGAGTTTTAAGAAATAAACAGCAGTATAATAATCAGCATCCATGAGTGCCTTAGTTTGTTATGTGAGATATCAGCATTATTTTTCAGGATGTTCACACAATTTACAAGCTTAAAAAATATTTACAAATATCAAAATAATGGTGACTCCCTAAATACAAACTAATTTCAGCAAATCATCCTTTTTATGAACAGTTGGTTGATTTTGGTATTTTCTGAAAATTTTCACTGACATCAAAACAATGAAAGTGGGTGTACATGATTTGTTCTAAAAATTACTATTTACCTTCTCAAAAAATAAATAAATCGCTATATGGCTGTAATATTGCCGCCGCGATGTAAAGTTTTAACTCGCTCAAAAAAATGTAATTTAAATTTATTATTTAAGACATCAAGTTGCAAACATGTGTTGTAATCTGCAGAAATTACCGCAAGATAGTTCTGTTTTGTTGAGAAATCTCACCTTGTTTTTCATGTCAAGATAGTTCTGGGGTAGCCTAATGGTTAAAGCGAATTCACACCGAAGACGTTCGAATCCCCACAATGTTGCCCATTTCTGGTGTTCGTGATGTTGCTGGAATATTGCTAAAAGCGGCGTAAAACCAAACTCAGTCAGTCAGTCAGTATAAAATTTGTTGCCAATAACAAAGGTCTCATGTTGTTATGTTCTGCCGATCTCTAAATGCCAATTGAAGACTTATTCTTTAGCTTCTATGTATACATTTTATAGCTAATAAGTTTTGTGTATCTAAGAATAATGTGACTCTCCTTTGTAATGTGTGAGACTGGAAGAAGAGCAACTCTCGGTAGTATTACAGAACACCGCCATGACAAAGCTGGTGCATAGATTGTGGTGTACAATAACAAAGGAAACAAGCTTTAGCCTGCATGTCAAGTTGTTATGGAAAACAGCCATAAGTTGTACTGCAAGGAAACAGTGGGTAGTTGAGGGAGACGGAAGCATTGCGGTGTGGGTGGGGGTTGGATGTGGCTCGCTTTATGCACAGGGTAGATCTCAGTATTTTCGTAATAATTTCCCATTTCTCCGTCTATTAGCAAGTGGTGGCATGTATCAGAAACTGTTGAATAAACATGCTCATAGTTAAACAACAGTAAGCCAAGTAAAATCAAACGGATAATGGCGGTTAAATTACAATAAATAGACTCTCTTTGTCTGTCTTACTTCACTACTTAAAATAAATAGATTTTGTTAAGTTCACCAATTTGGTGTTGCAACATATCAGCACACAAACTGGTACCTTGCGTGGGAGGAATCATCACAGAAAAGACGGAAGATAAACATGTTTTTATTACAAATATATCGTGTGTATGAATCATGTATGCACTGGTGATAGGCCCCTGCCTCATCATTGAGGGTCTATGGGGTAGCCTAGTGGTTAAAGCGTTCACTCACCAACCGAATTCCACAGGTACAATGTGTGAGACCCATTTCTGGTGTCCCCAGCGAGATATTCCTGGAATATTGCTAAAAACAGCATAAAACTAAACTCGGTCATTGTCTAGGCAGGCTAGGGTAGGGTAATTTAGCATTAAATTTGAAGGTTTATATAGGTGGGGTCACTTTATAGCCAGCGATATACAGTACTTCATAAACTCTATCACCACTCTGTCTCATTTCTTGGACGTGTTTTATGAACACATGCCAATGATATAGTCAGAACTGTACAATGGATTCAACTTTTAGCAGAAATTTAATTTATGATTATTGATTGTCTTTGTTGTTGTTGAAAACAGTGTCATGTTCTAAGCACATTTGATCATTTTGAATTTGTTGTTTTGAAAACAATAACATTTAAAGTGATATTGTCAGTGTATTGGCCAGGAGTCTCAGGGGAAGGGGCAGCTTGATGTTTCAGTAATTTTAGTAGACTAGCCAGGGAGGGAGATGGCAGCCATGTGCAGGTGCCCCCTTCCCATTTGACTAACTAACCCTGTATCTGGACCTGGTGGTGCATGTACTGACCTATATCACCTGATAACCTCCCTTACTAGTTGCAGAGTTAACTACACTGATGCCTCATCTGTCAGGTTTCAGTGTAACAATCCACACACACATTGGCTTCAGTTCAGCATAGCAATCCCCACCCACCCAGGCTCCAGTTCAGCATAGCAATCCCCACCCCCAAAGGTTTTAGTTCAGCATTGCAATCCCCACCCCCACAGGCCTCAGTTATAAATAGCAACTCCACCCCCACAGGCTTAAGTTATATGTAGCAATCCCCACCTAACAAGCTTCAGTTCAGCATAGCAATCCCCGACCCCACAGGCTTCAGTTAGGCATAGCAATCTCCACCCCACAGGCCCCAGTTCAGCATAGCAATCCCCAACCCCACAGGCCTCAGTTCAGCATAGCAATCCCCACCTCCACAGGCTTCAGTTCAGCATAGCAATCCCCACCTCCACAGGCTTCAGTTCAGCATAGCAATCCCCACCCCACAGGCCTCAGTTCAGCATAGCAATCCCCACCCCTACAGGCCTCAGTTCAGCATAGCAATCTCCACCCCTACAGGCCTCAGTTCAGCATGGCAATCCCCAACCCCACAGGCCTCAGTTCAGCATGGCAATCCCCACCTCCACAGGCTTCAGTTCAGCATAGCAATCCCCACCCCTACAGGCCTCAGTTCAGCATAGCAATCCCCAACCCCACAGGCCTCAGTTCAGCATGGCAATCCCCACCTCCACAGGCTTCAGTTCAGCATAGCAATCCCCACCCCACAGGCTTCCAGTTCAGCATGGCAATCCCCACCTCCACAGGCTTCAGTTCCAGCATGGCAATCCCCACCCCCAGGCCTCAGTTCAGCATAGAAATCCCCGACCCCACAGGGCTCCAGTTCAGCATAGCAGTCCCCAACCCCACCGGCCTCAGTTCAGCATAGCAATCCCCACCTCCACAGGCTTCAGTTCAGCATGGCAATCCCACCCCACAGGCCTCAGTTCAGCATAGCAATCCCCCACCCCACAGGCTCCAGTTCAGCATAGCAATCCCAACCCCACAGGCCTCAGTTCAGCATGGCAATCCCCGACCCCACAGGCTCCAGTTCAGCATAGCAATCCCCAACCCCACAGGCCTCAGTTCAGCATGGCAATCCCCACCCTACAGGCCTCAGTTCAGCATGGCAATCCCCACCCCTACAGGCCTCAGTTCAGCATAGCAATCCCACCCCACAGGCTCCAGTTCAGCATAGCAATCCCCAACCCCACAGGCCTCAGTTCAGCATAGCAATCCCCAACCCCACAGGCCTCAGTTCAGCATGGCAATCCCCACCTCCACAGGCTTCAGTTCAGCATGGCAATCCCCACCCCCACAGGCTCCAGTTCAGCATGGCAATCCCCAAACCCACAGGCCTCAGTTCAGCATGGCAATCCCCGACCCCACAGGCTCCAGTTCAGCATAGCAATCCACAACCCCACAGGCTCCAGTTCAGCATAGCAATCCCCGACCCCACAGGCCTCAGTTCAGCATAGCAATCCCCAACCCCACAGGCTCGAAAGTTCAGCATAGCAATCCCAACCCCACAGGCTCCAGTTCAGCATAACAATCCCCAACCCCACAGGCTCCAGTTCAGCATAGCAATCCCCACCCCACAGGCCTCAGTTCAGCATGGCAATCCCCACCTCCACAGGCTTCAGTTCAGCATGGCAATCCCCACCCCCACAGGCCTCAGTTCAGCATGGCAATCCCCAACCCCACAGGCCTCAGTTCAGCATGGCAATCCCCACCCCCACAGGCTTCAGTTCAGCATGGCAATCCCCACCCCACAGGCTTCAGTTCAGCATAGCAATCCCCACCCCACAGGCTCCAGTTCAGCATAGCAATCCCCAACCCCACAGGCCTCAGTTCAGCATGGCAATCCCCACCCCCACAGGCCTCAGTTCAGCATAGCAATCCCCACCCCTGCAGGCTTCCAATTAATCAACCTGGGATATCATCAGTGTAAGATTTGTTCACTATCTGAAATAATGGTAGTGGGAAGTACAGAGCTCTTTTGTGGTGGGGAAATGTCCAATATCAGCATGTTGTAGTGGGGCATGTTGTAGTGGGGCATGTTGTAGTGGAGCATGTTTTCACCTAAAACTGAAATGTGTACCTTTTAGTCTTGAATATTTAAATTTACAAATATATACCGGATGAATGGCTGGACCAATCTACTATTTTGATCCAGACTAAGTCATGCAGAAAGAAATGATGAATGAACACATTGCATCTATTCCAACATACACAGCGTCAGTCAGGCTGTTTCAGCTACGATGTTGTTGATCCCGGTAAGTCGGTAAGCTGTGAAGGAAGGCAGGAGGTCAGTCATGCGTATCCCTCCTGACTGTAGTTAGCAATAGTGAATACCCTGCATGCTTCCCCCAGCTGGTGCACCTCCTGGTAACTCTAAACCACGGCAGTTACACCTGAGAATGCTGTACCAGCGCATGTAGGGAGCAGCAGATGGTCTCTGTTGTCCTGTGCTTGACCAACCAGTCACACCCAGTGAATCAAACACTGGTCAGGCTCTGTGGAAATCAGTCTTGTTTTGTTATTACCTGAGTGTGGCCTAGTTAGGTTGGACAGGTAGGAGAGAGGAAGGACAGATCCTTATGTGCTTTATTTCAGCTGGAAGCACGTGCTTGAGTTGATCTTGCGGTTGTTGCTTGCATTTCTCGTGTTTGTGTTGTTCACGCTACCTGTGAGCAAATTATGTGATGCTCTGTTTCTCACAGAGCATACATGTACGCTTGAAAGGTGTTGGCATTTTAGGATTAAGTTGCGATTGTGGAGTAGTCTGAAGTAGAAGCGCCGAGCTGCAGAGCAGCCAGGAGTGAGAGAGAGCTTTGATCATCGGTGGATGTATGGATTGAGTGTATTGGCATTGATCTGGAGCTACACAGCAGCCACCATTTGCACTGTACGGGCTGGCTTGAACCACTGCTGCCTGCTAACTCTGCTAGTGCTAGCGCTGCTGCTGCCGTCTCCCTACAACCGGTGAAGCTGGTGCCGCCGTACTGACGCACAGACAACCGCTGTGTCACCCAACATGGACGGACACACCTGTCGGGATGGTGGTACTAGTGTCAGGTGTAGGTAATTTATGATCATCACTCTTCCCTACGGTAACAGCTTGGATTTGGTCAGTGAAAACCGCCACTGTGCTTTACTACATATTGGATGAAAATTACTGGGGACTTCTCACTAAGGATTACTAGAGCTGGACACAGATTCACCGAGGTGAGATTTGCACACATTGCTGTGGTTTGCTGCCTTGTAGGGACAAGATCTGATTGATTTTGCGAGGTAGTGTTAGCTTCGTTAGCCGGTCACTATGGCTGGCAGCGTCTCTGCTCTAACATAGATAATGTTAAGATGCAAAGCAGGAAAGCATTTGGTGGGTCTAGTCAGCACACATGGGAAATGTGTGGGAGGAGAGGAGAAAGTCAGGCAGACATAGCTGAAAATCTTCTGCTTTCTTGTCCGTGTGTACATTCTCTTTCTACTGCATAAGCTGTGGATTTAGCTGAAACCCTCCGCACAGAAAACTGATTTTGAGTGTTGCTGCTTTGAGTATGTTACCGGTATTCAGTGGTTGACCTTGACCCCGACAGAGGTTTACACAGTACATGGAGATAACTATAAGATTAAGCCTCATAAAATTGCTGTTGAGTTATTCCATGTGCATATTTCACATTCATAGATTTATTAGTGCATGTCTGGTTAGAAATAATTGAATCTTACCTTACTGTGTGTTTGCAGATCAGGTTCGATGTCAGGTCCATTGTCATTAGTGATAATGAAAGGTTATTCTCTGTTCCCGGGAATACGGTGTTATCATATATGAAATAATATTCCTCATGTGATGTCACAACCATTTTGTTTGTGATGTATGTTTCATATTGTCATTGTTTGAGTCTAAAAGGGTTAAGAAAGTGAGAATTAATTAAGTATTTGTGTGAGAATTTGTTACTATGCATATGCCAGTAATTCAAAATCTATTTCGTCAGTTGAGTTAATGCCTAATAATGGCAAACAGACATCACCCACTTCAAAGAAGGCCTCATTTGGAGCTGAGATTGACGTCATATTGTTTGAACTAAATACCAAATATGATGGTTGAAGTGGGTGCCAGATTAACATTGTGCATTTACGTAGTAGGTCAGCATCAGTCATGTCTCATAGGGACTTATCAAGACCGTCTCCGGGGGCAGAATTCGCTCCCAAGTCTGAAATAAATGTCAGGAATAATTTCCTAATCAGAATTAACAAAATGTTGTTAATTTGTCAGGTCAAGTTGTTTTGTTAATGCAATGTTATGGATTTGCAGAACATCCCTGTATTTCATTGAAGACACTGAGTAAAACAAGAAACTTCTTTTGGGGGACATTTTTGCTTTTTATGAAATATTAATTGTACTGAAGTGAAGAAAATAAGAACAAAAATAGCTTTCTGTCCCAATTCTGTCTGCAAAATGGCAAATGCATTGGAATCCTAGATAAATCTCTAACATTGGTTATGGAATTCTTATGCTGGGAAGTGCCGCATATATTTGCATAAATTATTGCTATAAATGTGCGTACAACAACTGTTGTGATCTCTACACTGGATGCTCTATCATTAGATGAATCTATTTTCCTTGGCCAAACCAGGTTCAGTTTTTGTTATACTTGTTTTCATGCTTATCATGCCTTGATGAAACATTTAAAAATACCAATTAAAATTTTCCATGTTCATTGATTGACTATGAATATATTTTGGTGTGCATTTTAATATATTAATGACACTTATTTAAATGAATGTGCCTGGTAGTAGTTGGAAATTGTGAATCATTTTAATCAATTACTTGTTGTATTATATTCATATATCTAAAAACAAATTTGGTTTGTAAAATATAATATGATTTTATGAAGATGAAATTTAGCTCAGTGTTAACAAATACTTTACTGTCCATGAATCTTTGTATGATGGGTAGCCTTACCATACACAATATGCTGGTTGCTTTCTGTCCCAATGGATGTTTAGCCCAGTGGTGAAAGTGCTTGCTAATCATGCTTAAAGTCTGAGTTCGATTACTAATATGGGTACAATTGCAATTTCTGGTGTCTCCAGATACAATATTGCTGGAATATTGCTAAAAGTGGTTTAAAACCCATTGCCATTGTCCTTACTTGTCTTATTTGTGAAAAGCATTTCTTCCTGTTCGTTAGACTAACGCTTAGTCTCTGAATATATATACTTTTGATTGTAACAGGTAAACCCATTAAAATTGTAAAGGAGCTCCAGAGAGACCAGAGTTTCTGGGGAAATCTAGAATGGCTTCTTTTAGGGCTTTAGCATTGCAGGGAGGGCTAGGCTGTAGGGAAAATAATATGGTTCAGGGACTGTGAGACAGATCTAGATTACCTGTTCGTGAGAATAAGCTTCCTCAGACAAGGTAAACTTGGAGTTTGAATTTGTTTTTATTTCCCTGTTTATCTTTTGTTTTGAGGAAATGCATGTAGACACACCTTGGTGTGTGTTTTGTTATCAGGAAAATATCATATTGATACACATGCAGGATGTTATTGTGGTAAGACATACAAGCACCTGTTCTGCATATCTTATATATGATAAATATATATTAAATCATCAAGGATTGGTTTTGTGCACCGTCTTGACTGATTAATTTATACAGCTGAGTGTTAACAAATGCTTTAGCTGATTGTCCATGACAGAAATGCTGTTCAAATTTAATTTCAAGAGATTGTGAACTGAAAAGGCAGAGGATAATTCTATTGGTTTCCATTATTGTATGGAGAATCAGGCTGATACTACAATAACGAACATCTATACCTCCAGCTGCTAAACACAGTCCCCCAATTATCACCCATTTTATTTCCCGACTTCATGAAGCCAATGCCTGACTTCCACGTGAATTTAAATTGCAGTAATTCTTTTGACCATATTGCTGTCTGTGTCCATTCTTTTGCTGACATGGTTTAAGCAGAGATAGTATTGATTGCTTACGCAATCAGGGAGTTTGCAGGGCTTGACGAAATAATATGCATGAGCGTGGCGCCAATTTAGGGAATACTAACCATGCCCACATTCATCAAATATGAACAATTGAAGCTATTTCTAGTCGCTAACTAAACACTTCTCCAGTATGGATGTGTACTTTGATGCTGCCATTCAGCAGGTAAGTGGCCAAAGTTGGACGACTATTGACGGAGATGAAACTCGAATACAAAAGCTAAAAAATCATTCGCTAACAATGGAAAATAAAAATAGATAAGAATGTATTGAAAATTCATGACAGTTTAGAAAGCTTTGTCACGTTAGCAAAGTGATGGAGTTTCTTTTTTCTATTTTCTAAAAGTAAAAATCCTGCTATTTACAGATAAGCTGTATTGGAGGGCTTTTCTGTGTTAAACTTGCGTTGTCAATTTAATGCATTGCTTATTCCATAGCTGGATGTATTATTAGTCCTAGTTGACGATAATGTCTTTTGTGCTATTTTCATGTCTGTAATCCTTGGAGACTTTTGTGCACAATACGATGCTTTTGGTCGTCGAATTAATTATTGGCACAGGATGTGAATAAACACGCTCTGCATGATTATTTTAAAAAGCTATTTTGAATGCTATGTTTCTGATATTTTTACATTGCATTCTGTTTCATTTTTTCAGAGCAGTTATATAATTTTCTGTCAATCCTAATTTCAGTTCTTATTCCTATTGTCATGTCTGATATGTGTTCATGCATTAATTCTTTTATTAGCTGTTTGGAGATTGGCCATAGATTAAATGTATGTTGTCAAAATGATATGAATAGGACAGATTCATACTGAGTGGAAAACAAACTTTGTTGCACCATTTTGTAAAGAGTAGTAGTTGGAAGATAGCATATTTTCAATTAAGCATGAGTTTGATACCTTGGCTCATTCATTTCACCAGGGCTGATGGGGTAGCCTGGTCTTTAGAGCATTTCTCTCTCTCTCTCTCTCTCTCTCTCCTTCACTCACTCACTCACTCACTCACCCACACACACCCACCCACTCACCCACCCACCCACCACCATTGCTCGCTCACCCGCCCAAAGCCCACCCACCCACCATCCATCGCTCACCACCCACCACCCACTCACTCACCCACTCACTCACTGTGGCTTTCAGTTTTATCCTCCAAAATCATATAATCAACATATCAAACTGACATGCCGTAACTAAAATATGTCAAAGCAGACTTAGACCCAAGCTACTTGCTCAACTGGACTATACTCACTATTGAACCATATATTCATGAACAAGTATGGTTTATCTAAAGCACAAACAATTTTAGATCGTTATGAAAACAGTAAGACAAAGCATGCATCCTTGCATAGCTCACAGCACAATCATCGTTGCTTGAGTGATTTCACCTGAATGGGAAATACTCTACAGTGCATGATTTAAGTCAAAGACGTGTTTTAAGAATAAATACATGGTTTAATAATGCATCAGAAATATAGAAATCGATAACTATCGTGGAGGAATGTTTTGAATTATTCATAGCTTGTGTTTTGTTTGGTGGGTAATACTGATGTAGTCATTACGATAGTTACAGGTGGGAAACGTGTGATAACGTCTAACAGTGTTTTATATACAATATCTCCCAGGGGATTATTGATATTTATACAATTGGCATTATGAAATGTCAGACAAAACTGCTTTGGATTCATTGATTTGAGTGTTATGCTTTTTTAACTAATGTTCAGGTCTCTTGTCCATGTTATTAAGCATGTTTTGCAATATAATTGAATACCAGACTTTCATTCACTTGTGAAATCTTCGAGCAATGTGTTGCTAAGTGTAACATGTGTTTTAAACAGGTTGGAGGCAGAGACGCTGACATGAAAATCAATAATATTGATATGTCCATATTACTCGTATACTATTTAGCTTGCCAGCTCCCAGAGTAGGTGGAATTGATATTGGCATTGAAGGAGTGTGTTGTTTTAGCATCGTGTGTCTGTATTGTAAGTATGCATTTTAGTTGTAGTGTCGTATTTGTGTACAGTGTAAACAGACTGGCTATTAATAAAAGCAGTTTTGTTTAAACAATTGTCACGGAGAAGCTGGTCATTATGTCATGGCATGGTCAGTCCTATGTTTTCTTTATTATGTTAGGGACTCAATAGGGTCAATGTCATGCTTTGTGGAAATCACCTTTAAGAGATCTAAGACATTTAAATAAATAGAAGTATTTTCTTGATATATC